GATCAAAGACATTGATATGAGATGCATGATTTACTCCTGTCATAGATCAAAGACATTGATATGAGATGCATGATTTACTCCTGTCATAGATCAAAGACATTGATATGAGATGCATGATTTACTCCTGTCATAGATCAAAGACATTGCTATGAGATGCATGATTTACTCCTGCCATAGATCAAAGACGTTGTAATGAGACGCATGATTTACTCCTGTCATAGATCAAAGACATTGATATGAGATGCATGATTTACTCCTGTCATAGATCAAAGACATTTATATGAGATGCATGATTTACTCCTGTCATAGATCAAAGACTTTGATTTGAGACGCATGATTTACTCCCGTCATAGATCAAAGACATTGATAAGAGATGCATGATTTACTCCTGTCATAGATCAAAGACATTGATATGAGATGCATGATTTACTCCTGTCATAGATCAAAGACTTTGATTTGAGACGCATGATTTACTCCCGTCATAGATCAAAGACATTGATAAGAGATGCATGATTTACTCCTGCCATAGATCAAAGACGTTGTAATGAGACGCATGATTTACTCCTGTCATAGATCAAAGACGTTGATATGACGATTATATGATTTACTCCTGTCAAAATAGCCTAACCACATTGGTAAGGCAAATTTACAATGAATATATCTTTGTGTTATCACTTCACTGTGCGTAATGCGGCATTATAATTTAAACGCAAAACTCTTTCATTTATAAGTGTATGATGTATGTCAATATAAGCAGATAAAGTATTGAAAGCTTTCTAAACAGAAACTAGGCATTTTGCCATTATAAGTTTACTTGAAGCCTGATACAGGTATTAAGATGGCTCAATTAGAAACCTAAAAGACGTGTTTCTTTTGTTATTCTGTCTGGCGAGGAATGTGACAGGGTTTACAATGGCACGCTCTGAGAAGTGGCGTAGGAAAGGGGGGTGGAGGGGGCAATCTGGCCCATGCGACACTTTTATTGTACAAAGGGTGGTATTTTCTGCAGAGTTATTTCGTTGAAAGCGGCGGAAAATTTCTTGCCCCCCCCCCCTCCCAAAATCGCGAGAGGCACTAACCCTTCCTATGCCAGCCACCGGCTCAGATACATCGTTATAATGAACTTGATAGTATTTACACTTGATGAACTCACCATCTTGGTTGCCCGCATTCCAATTAAGTCCGCGTACAACCGATGCACCTTGAAAGATCCCCTTAGCCAACTGTCTGTCGTTCTGACTATCGCATCTGGGTGGAACTCCAATCCTGTGATAATGTGTTTAATATAAGATAACAGATGTGTCGACATTCTTTATAAACATATGGAAACACAACCTATTGTTTGAATTACTTTATATTAACTTCCCTTCGTGGATGCCTGGCTGGCTGTGTAATTCGCTAATTGATCCACTTCTAGGCAAACCTATCGAGCTGAAACTTGCCACAAATACTCGATGACAACGCATTCTATCTAGTTGTCAGACCCAACCCTCCATCCAAACCTTGAAAAAGCTGTCTTTCCTGTTTGTCAAGGGGAAGTTAAAATAAGATTCCCCGATAGCTGCGCTAAGTGAGATTCTTCTTTAAGAATATATCGCCAGTGCGTTTGGTGCGTAATATTTTATTTTGTTTTTCTAAAATATATTGGGGGTGAAATAACTCTGCAATGTAAAAGCTTAAGAGAGAAAGAAGGGGGGGGAATTAAAATATCAACATAGTTCATGGGTGTGAAAAAAATGTTCTTTTGCGAGCCTTGGAAGGGAGGAAAAAGGGGGGGGGGGGGGAAGCACTATTTCGGATCTTGAAAATTGTGTTCCTTTTATGTATGTCTTGTCAAATTTCTAGTAGCCCCACTCTCATCGCTCGATGTTACATGTTAAAAAGGATTGTTTAGAATTTAGGGGCTGTTTAATTACTATATTTCAAAAAAAAAAAGAAATAGAGGTTAAATCTGACCCATACTCCGACTGATATCGGCGTCTGTTCACCTTCACCGGCAATTATATGCCGAAACGTGAGAAGCCTGCCGAGTATTCTTGCCGAGGTTATACTTGACACCGGCGGCTTTGTCTGCCTAAAGACCTGCACACATCGGACTAACTCCGATTGCAGACTTGCCATATACGGAATAATTGACAGGCATTCCCAAGAGGGTGGATAAAACATATTAATTTAATGTTGGGATTTATTCCGACCGATCATTATAATAATAATAATAATAAAGTTCATTTCAAAAACACGCTTCATCCCAAAGGCTCGAAGCGCGGTACAAAGTCAACAAAAAAATATCTATAATTCACCACAATTAAAACAAACGCAACACTACAAAAACTAATTACAAGCATACAATCTCAAAGTCTTTCTAGCCATTTCAACCCGGAGCAACACAGCAACACATGGAAAATAAGGTAGACAATCATCCCAGAAGGTATTTGCGAAATAGATGTGTCTTTAGATCGGTTATAAAGGACTCCAGTGTCTGGTTGTTTCTAAGATCGACAGGAAGGGCGTTCCAAATTGTTGGACCAGCAAATGCGAAAGTGCGCTTTCCGTAAGTCTCAAGGCAAACACGTGGTGTCGAGAGTTTGCCACTAACGGATGAGCGGAGCTCTCTAGTGGGTACATAAGGCGTCAGCAGCTCTTTCAGATAGGACGGCGCCAGGTCATGTAAGCAGCGGTAGCACAAGCCACTTGTACAATTTTCCCTCCGACCACTTGCCCTTTTTTTTTTTGGTCCCCAAAGTTGCCCCATCTCGTTTAAAAAATCTTTTGCCTTAAAGAATCTCATATCACCGGTGAATAATTCTCTTTATCTCTAGTTTTATTCAGTTCAAGTACCACTCCTCGGGGTTAGCTTTTAAGAACAAAAGACAAAAGAGGAGCCAGGGGTGAGCTCCTTCCAGCGTACCCATCAACTGTGTTGTTCTGCTCGCTGGTTTAAACAATTGAAGTTTGAATCAACCGTTTCGCCTTTTATTGAATGGCGTGATGTTTACATCGGTTAAAGACATCTAAACACCTTGTTTTCAAACACAAACATACCCATAGGATAGAGGTGTTTCACACATGATGAAGGGGTGTGAAATGTCATGCTGGTCAGACATGTAGCATGCGGTACACAGTGAGACGCCGTAGCACGACGCACACTTCCACTTGAAGCCGGCGATCCCGCGCTCACCGCAGCTGTTGCACGTTGGAAGGTGGAACACACCTGGGGTAGTTGTAAGAATATGGTTTTAATAATTTTACTTTATGTTTTCATTAATAAACAATGTTGACTAATAAACAGTGATAACTAATAAACAGTGATAACTAATAAACAGTGTTGACTAGTAAACAGTGATGACTAATAAACAGTGATGACTAATAAACAGTGATGACTAATAAACAGTGATGACTAATAAACAGTGATGACTAGTAAACAGTGATGACTAATAAACAGTGATGACTAATAAACAGTGATGACTAATAAACAGTGATGACTAATAAACAGTGATAACTAATAAACAGTGATGACTAATAAACAGTGTTGACTAGTAAACAGTGATGACTAATAAACAGTGTTGACTAATAAACAGTGATGACTAATAAACAGTGATGACTAATAAACAGTGATAACTAATAAACAGTGATAACTAATAAACAGTGTTGACTAGTAAACAGTGATGACTAATAAACAGTGATGACTAATAAACAGTGATGACTAATAAACAGTGATGACTAATAAACAGTGATGACTAATAAACAGTGATGACTAATAAACAGTGATGACTAGTAAACAGTGATGACTAATAAACAGTGATGACTAATAAACAGTGATGACTAATAAACAGTGATGACTAATAAACAGTGATGACTAGTAAACAGTGATGACTAATAAACAGTGATGACTAATAAACAGTGTTGACTAATAAACAGTGATGGCTAATAAACAGTGATGACTAATAAACAGTGATGACTAATAAACAGTGATGACTAATAAACAGTGATGACTAATAAACAGTGATGACTAGTAAACAGTGATGACTAATAAACAGTGATGACTAATAAACAGTGATGACTAATAAACAGTGATGACTAATAAACAGTGATGACTAATAAACAGTGTTGACTAGTAAACAGTGTTGTCTAATAAACAGTGATAACTAATAAACAGTTATGACTAATAAACAGTGATGACTAATAAACAGTGTTGACTAATAAACAGTGTTGACTAATAAACAGTGTTGACTAATAAACAGTGTTGACTAATAAACAGTGTTGACTAATAAACAGTGTTGACTAATAAACAGTGTTGACTAATAAACAGTGATGACTAATAAACAGTGTTGACTAATAAACAGTGTTGACTAATAAACAGTGATGACTAATAAACAGTGTTGACTAATAAACAGTGTTGACTAATAAACAGTGTTGACTAATAAACAGTGATGACTAATAAACAGTGTTGACTAATAAACAGTGTTGACTAATAAACAGTGTTGACTAATAAACAGTGATGACTAATAAACAGTGTTGACTAATAAACAGTGATGACTAATAAACAGTGTTGACTAATAAACAGTGTTGACTAATAAACAGTGTTGACTAGTAAACAGTGTTGACTAATAAACAGTGTTGACTAATAAACGGTGTTGACTAGTAAACAGTGTTGACTAATAAACAGTGTTGACTAATAAACAGTGTTGACTAATAAACAGTGTTGACTATATTTTTTTCATTGGTAAAAACCAGCGGTCGGCAAACTCAATCATCAAAAGAGCCAAAACAATTTATCAGCAGGGCGATTCAAAAAAGAAGATTAGGAAAACTATAAATTGTGTTTCGAAATTGCTACTTACGAATCTTTTCGTTGAGACGAGTCGACTAGTTATCACATGTGAAATAAACAGGAAGCAGGAACAAGTGAAAATGCAGAATCCAAAAAAACAAACAAAGAAACACAACCATAATATTCAATGTTGAATCCTACTAAGGATTATTAAGCATTGGCCGTATGTCTTACATGCGAAACAAACAGTTGTGCTACTACAGAACTCACCACATTGGATGTTATCAAACGCGCGCAAGTCATAGCTGTCCCCATGACCAGTTCTGTAGTAGCACTTGACGCCTGTATCCCAGACCACTACCACGGAGTTTTCAGGCGCCTCAGATCCATTTTGACCGCCAATCTCCACAACAGTACCAACTAATCCTTCTAGGTCATCATCGCCGTACTTCCAGTCAGGTCCACGGACTACACGGAGGCCAAGCTTGACATTGGAACTTCCTGGCAATATATATAATTTATAAATGAATGTATATGTAACGTAGATGATGGTTGTAATGCACGTGGCTTTTCTTGGCCAACCCATAGTACTTTTGTAGTTACTATCTGATCACTGTGGGCAATTATTTCTCACATACTAGTCGGAGGCTACCACCATCACAAACGCGTTCCTCAAGTCCACTCCACAATGGACGATATCAGGTGCCGCCCTTACACAACACATGCTACTGTCACACGGACAGCAGAGGTATAAAACAACCATTTACTACCGAGTGTGGGCTTCTTCGGTGTACAAGAGCGCTTTTAATAAGTATACTATCCTTCTTCATGAGCAATCTTTATACATTCTTTGAGCAATCTTTTAACATTCTTTGAGCAATCTTTTAACATTCTTTGAGCAATCTTTTAACATTCTTTGAGCAATCTTTTAACATTCTTTGAGCAATCTTTTAACATTCTTTAAGCAATCTTTTAACATTCTTTGAGCAATCTTTTAACATTCTTTGAGCAATCTTTTAACATTCTTTAAGCGATCTTTTAACATTCTTTGAGCAATCTTTTAACATTCTTTGAGCAATCTTTTAACATTCTTTGAGCAATCTTTTAACATTCTTTGAGCAATCTTTTAACATTCTTTGAGCAATCTTTTAACATTCTTTGAGCAATCTTTTAACATTCTTTGAGCAATCTTTTAACATTCTTTGAGCAATCTTTTAACATCCTTTGAGGAATCTTTTAACATTCTTTAAGCGATCTTTTAACATTCTTTGAGCAATCTTTATACATTCTTTGAGCAATCTTTTAACATTCTTTGAGCAATCTTTTAACATTCTTTGAGCAATCTTTTAACATTCTTTGAGCAATCTTTTAACATCCTTTGAGGAATCTTTTAACATTCTTTGAGCAATCTTTTAACATTCTTTGAGCAATCTTTTAACATTCTTTGAGCAATCTTTTAACATTCTTTAAGCAATCTTTTAACATTCTTTGAGCAATCGTTTAACATTCTTCTAACCATTTTGGTTGGACCATGCGGCTTCTCTGTACTCTCGTCGTAAGTCTCATCTCCTTCGAGATTACCAAAACATCCTCAAATTATGGAGAGGTTACAGTGTGTGTGTATATATGTGTGTGTGTGTGTGTGCAGAGAGGGCAAAGTGGAGGAAAAGCGGCGCCGAGGATGAAGATCAAAAGGCACCCTCCATATGTTGAGAAATAAGCCTCTCGGGGCAGATTTAATGGAAAAAGACGATTTTGTGAAGTAGTGTGGAGAGTTCGGCCGGGGGCGTCTGACTAGGGATTAACGGCCGTCTGACACCGTCTGGCAGGTACAGCCGGCGCCAGCTGACCAGGGATCACGATCGACGGATCAAGCCATCTGACCAGGGCATTTACCTGGGACGTCTAGACCTGGCGCCTGGACTGGGAGAGGAACTATGGGACGGGGGAGGTATAAATAGGGATCTCTGGACGGGACGGAGGAAGAGTGCGGCCGGATGGTTAGAAGAGGAAGGCGGCCGGACTGAGAACTAGATAGCAGGGAGAAGTCAGAGTTGTGAGATGAGTGAAAGTGTAAGCAAGTGACAGCCCTATAAAGAACACGAGTTTAATCATCAAATGTATCACCGGAGTTGTTTCCTTATTGAGTACCAGATCTAGATGAAGTTTGTCAGAGAGTAAGCAAGGTTTCCTTACAGTACACGTGCCCTTCATCATCAATGTCATCGTTCAGTTCCTATCTAAAGACGATTTTGGCGTCCATTGTCTTTGTGAAGTACACGTGCCCTCATCATCAATGTCGCTGTTCAGTTCCTATCTGAAGGCAATTTTGGGGCCCGCCTGATCTTTGACCCTTCGACCCCATCCCCACCCTGTTCATCTAAACTATAATTTTAATGCCATTATCAAATGTGCAATGACGTAATCGTCTACATTTGGGTCATCGCATGCCGGGCACAATGGCTGGGCATATCGTGCGGGTTGTTGGTCCGCAAAGATTAAAAGCAAAGCTGGCTGGTAGTGTCTCGATGAAAACCATCTCACACCTACATGTCGCGTGTTTCGTGTACGAAAAGCTTAGTTGTTGTATTTCGTAGGCAGGAAAAATATTGTTTAAAAATGTTCTATACATTTCAAAATATTTTCCTTAATGCTATATATCTGGGTTCTGAACGTGTAAATTTAGTTTCGTATGATTCTGACCTTTAGGAAATGAACATAAACAAAATTGAACGAAAGTAAAATAGTGATAAAATCTTAAATTATACTGATGAAGGGTTGTAATACTTCTTTCTTTATTCGAAAAGTCCGAAATTTTAGGGATGACACTTATTAAATTCTGCCATGCATCAACTGAAATAATTTGTATTTGCTGCTTTGGGAATACGTATATGACTGTCTTTTATTATCATGACGTAACTATGATAACATCAAAGTTTCTCCTTCTTTTAAAAGTATCCTAAATAAAATGGTTGTTTGAATAATGTTTTTGACACAAGTTTTGTTCAAGCTTGAATTGAATATGATTAAAGGTAAATTTTCATCTCTCTACATTGAAAATTTATCTTATTTTCTGTTTAGACTGAAGTAAAAATCTAAACTATAATAAAAGTAATAATAATAGTACCAATAATAGTAGTAGTAGTAGTAGTAGTAGTAGTAGTAGTAGTAATAATAATAATAGTTATTATAAAATAAAAATTGTATTTTTTAAATTATGTATAATACAGAACAATGCTTAAGAAAACATTTTCTTTTTTTCCAAAAAAGACAAACTAATCTGTGTGTCGTTCTCTATGAAGCAGTGTTAAGGCCACACACTTACTTTCAATTTTATTCATGAGATCTTTAATATAAACTAATAAACGCTTGTTGCCCTTGACGTAGCTGACATTATTTCAGCCACAGCCAAACCCTTGAATGTCGTCAGAGATTACATTTTAATAATACAAAAAAAAAAAAAAAAGATAGATCTAACCAAAAAATATGGATAGAATTCCTACCAACCTCGATCCATGGTAATTCTTAAAAAATTGTTTCAGTTTGACTAAACTAATAAACGCTTGTTGCCCTTGACGTAGCTGACATTATTTCAGCCAAAGCCAAACCCTTGAATGTCGTCAGAGATTACATTTTAATAATACAAAAAAAAAAAAAAAGATAGATCTAACCAAAAAATATGGATAGAATTCCTACCAACCTCGATCCATGGTAATTCTTAAAAAATTGTTTCAGTTTGACTAGTGCTTACGTTTCACTTCATGCCAAATATCTTAACGGGCATTCCCCATATGATTATTTTTAGTCTACGCTTTGACCTTTAAGAATATCTATTTTTATAACACGTGTACTTTAAACATGGCATCGCTACAACCGTGTGACGTGTAGTAGGTCGTCTTTGAACATCATTGTATTTAACACCTCCATCCCCCGTTTCGCACACATGTATATATATGTGTAATTAGTTTCTGCCTGTATTGTTGTTAAAATGAAACAATGAAGCTGTTTAGTTATGAAGGACCGTCGGGCCGAGACCGAGCACTGTGAGGTCGACGCTCAGCATCACTGGCTCGGTGGTGTTACATGGGATTTTGCCTCTTCGTGGCGTGACAGACCAGTCTCCTCCTGAAGCTAAAAAATCCCGGTCAAACGCATGACTTCTCACGCAACGGAAGTTGCGCGCTAACATGATGACGTGTTGCCGATAATGGATATGAGGCTTGTTGAGGATTAAACCCTTGTTGAGGATTAAAAACATGCGGCCCTGAGAAAGCCGCGCCTAGGCGACCGTTTCGTCCCGACACAGTCCCGACCGAACTACTCCCCGAACGGTGGGGTGAGGTAACGCAACACCTTCCCCGGAGAGGAGCCAAAGACACTGGTTCATGCGCCAGCTGGTAGAGTCCTCTCTTTAAACCCCGTGACCTGGAGCTACGGTCTTGACAAAAGGTTGCACAGATCTAATGTTGCTGGCATCCGTCCGTCACAATGTGACGATGGAGTGGGCTTCGTAGGACGAAATCCACATAGCCTTGAAGGATTATAAGCTGGTTCCCAACAGCAAATCGCCTCTCTCCACGCTGCTGGGTAACCCAAGGGAACATCATTGGATGATACAGCTTGGCACCAGTGACGCCGCAGGAATTGTCGGAATGTTTCATTGTATCAATGTTATCCGCCTTTCGGGACTCCATCTCCGGGTTTGATTTCAGAGTTTCCTTCTCTTAGATGAGTTGCCGTCCAAGGTTAACGAGTCCCATCTACCCGGGGTGCTGGTGGTGTTTTTGCTCTAGCTGGAATTGAACTCCAGACCACCAACTTGAGATTTGCTCAGTTTAGACCACTCGGCCACCCAGCAC